GTGGCTTACCGGTGGTGAACCGAGCTTAAAGAAAGGTCAGGAAAATTGCAGCAACAACAACAAGTTAGAAGGCTTTGGGAAGAAGGGGAGTTGCCAGCTTAACACTTTGAGGGATAATCTCGCAGAGTCAACTTGCCAAAGAGGGAAGTTCGCAACCCATTGAAACAGGCGCGACTTCGGGAAGGAGGATCTCAGGCAGAGAGTGTCGGGCGAGGCCAAAGAGTCAACTTTCCATCTCATGAAGGGGAAGGTTCGAGGGCATGGCGCTGCTAGGGCTTCGCTTTGGCCGAAGGAGGGAGTCGATCGTAGCGAGGCCGACGAGACGACTCAGGTTGAAGGAGAGTTCTTCTCGGGCTGAACAGAGAAGGCTCGACCGAATAGGGAAGCCATTTGCGTGCGAGAGTTGGGGATTTACAGATTTAAGGAAAATGAATTTCCCTTTTTTTTAATGTTTAATTTTAAAAGTTCGCAATTCACACACTATTCGTTCGTGCACGAAACTATATCAAAATGTGTGTTCTTTCTAGGTGAATTCGACGTTTTGAATGCGCTGACGCAGTTTGTTTCGTCATCCAAGGTCGTTCAGACAACCTCCTCGACGATCGGGTTAAAAATGTGTCAAATTCAAATTTTCACAAAACTCTCGCTCGTGATTGATCGTTACAGCAATTGATTTGAGTTTGATCAATCGTGAAGCCTTCTACAGGTGACGGTGACATGAATTTTGATAATTGTGTGCATCGAACGCGTGAATTGTGGTATTCGTGCATCGAACGCGCACGGAGGTCGCAATGAGTTTCTTATGGTTTCGGGTCCTATTGATACTCGACTCGAGCTTTGTCACGCTGGTTTTAATCGACTCAACTAAACGTTGAGGATTTAGAACCAGCGATATGAAACCGCGAGGAGTCGAAAAGTGACTCGAATTTCTAGTCGGTGCGGGCCCGAGACTAGTCCTCTAAAAGAGTCCAACAGGAAGCCCTAAGTCTAGATCCTAAGCTTTTAAGGAGAAGGAGAAACCTAAAAAAAAATGAGGTTAACAGGGTTGTCTCCTCTTAAAGGAGGGAATTTTTTATTGCAGTTGAAGGATTTTTCAGCTGCATATCATCTATAGTAAGTTCATGGGCTCCTCTTTGAGTATTTCTCCTAGGTGCTGTGTCCTTTTCTCTTGATCGGGATTTCAGGGAATGTAAGATTGCAGATCAAAGCTTGTTCAAGGGCTTAGATTTTGGTGGTAGGTATCTGGATGAATTTTTGGTGGAGGTAGGTAGACTGGTTTTTTAAAATTTGGGTTTAGGGCTAGGAAATTACAGTAAGATTGTTTAGGGCAAGACAATTTTTTTTTTGGGTGTTTGGTTGTATTATATGTAATTTTTTGTCTGGGAGCAAGAAAAGACAAATCCCTAAAATTTTAAATTTACTGAGCTCTGATACTAAATTATACTACACTAAGGCTTTTAAAAAGTGTTTAAGAAGTAAATTTACTGGGGAGGTTGTTGTGGAATAGTAAGAGAATGATAGTATGTGAGGTTGATAATGTTTGAAAGGTGATAGGCATTGTTTGGCAGCTGTTCTGGCTAAAAAAAAAAAAACAACAACAACAACAACAACAACAACAAAGCCTTAATCCCACTACGTGAATAGGCATTATTTGGCAGCTGGTCGGTTACATGAATCCTTTTTCTCCATTGCGTCCTATTTAGTGTCATATCTTCATTTAGTTCTAGTAAATTAAGATCATTTTTAATACAATAAGCCCAAGTCTTCCTATGTCTACCTCTGCCTTTCTTAACACAAGTCGAATTTAAAACATCTACTCTCCTAATCAGATCATCTTATGGTCGACGTTTAATATGACCAAACCATCTAAGACGACTTTCTCTAATTTTGTCTGTCACAGGAGCTACACCAACCCTATCACGAATATATTCATTCCGCATTTTGTCTCTAAGTGTAAAGCCACTCATCCACCTAATCATTCTCATCTCGGCAACACTTAACTTATTATTATGCTTCTCTTTTAAAGGCCAACATTCAACGCCATAGAGCATTGCAGGTCTCACCACCATCTTATAAAATTTTCCTTTCAGTCTTAGCGGTACTTTTCTATCACACAAAAGGCCCGAAGCATTCCTCCACTTCAACCAACCAACTTGAATTCTACTATTAACATCCCCATCTATATCACCATCGCTTTGGACAACGGACCCAAGATATCTAAATCGTTCACACCTTTTAATAATTTGATCACCCAAAGTCACACTTCTGTCACTAGAGCTATTACTACTAAAATTACATTCCATGTATTCAGTTTTAGTTCTAATTAAATGAAGATCTTTAGACTCCAATATAGACCTCCATAATTCAA